TAGCTGCACCCACTCAGAGGGGTCTCTGACTTGCTGTTTTTTTTTTTTTTTCTCATCCACACAGATTCTGATGACGAACAGCCTCCAAGAAAAGGTTTCTCCAGGACCCTCATGAAAGTACCAGGTATAGAATATTTTAATGTTTAGTGTGTGTGTGTGAGAGAACAGAAAAATTAAGATCTCATCAGACACCGTCACTTCCTGTAATAGTGTCTGGGACAAGAAATTGTTAAAGGCAATGTCTAATACCCAGTAGAAAAAGCCCAATAAACAAGGATTGTTTTCAGTTGACAACATTGTTATACCTCTCTGACCTGTCTTCGCCATGTGATGTTTTTGTGTAATGTATGTATGGTCGGAGGGTAAGATGGCGCCGCCATTGCGTGCAATAGGTCGGCAGCCTTAACATGAAATTTCCCCTTGTGGGACTAATAAAGGTATATCAAATCAAATCAAATAATCATTCAATAATAATCATTAATCAGTCAAATATTATGAACGCAAAGAACTGGTTTAAAAAACTAAAGGAAGGAACAGCAATTAGTTCTGATCTTATCTGCTTAAAAAATCCAGAAACGATGGGGAAAAAGAGAAGAAATACTCCACAATAAAGTTAGTTTTAAATGGTTGCTGTTAGTTGCTGTTGCACACATTTAATAAAATAAATCATGTGCATTTAAATGAATGGTATATTTATGGTTTTGGTAAGTAAACTTGAAAATGACAAGAACAGCAACAAAAAAAAAGAAGAGTTTAAGTCACCTCCGCAGTCACCACATATAAATACAATAGGACATCTTTGGGATTTTGTTAAACAGGAAATTCACATCATGTTGACACATCTGCAAAAGTTACATGATGCTGCCAAGTTCTCTGGGGAATATTTCCTTGGTGAATTTGTGCAATTAAGTATTGAGGCAGTAAGGGAGGATTCAGGCTCACCTGGTCCAGCCCTAACTATATGCTTTAAGAAATAACCATGTTCATCTCTCCAGTGGTGACATAGATAGAGGCCAAGTGTCAGAGATCACCTGCCTGATTCAGTTCCCTTTTTATAAAGAGATATTTTTACCAACTGTATTTGAATAATATGCAAAATGCATTTTATTTGCTTTGTAAATATTTTTTGCTGTATTGAGGCCATTCTGAAAGCAAAAGAGGTCCAACCAGTATTAGCAAGCTGTACTCAGAGAGCATATTGTACATTTATTTTATAACATTTATAATGTGCTTAAATGGTTGTAAATGAGAACACTTTGTTTTAGTTGTTTTTTCCCCTGATTTTAAAAAAAGCATCTATGTCATTAAGCTGATAAAAGAAAAAAAATGGTATTTTGTCCCAGGGCTTTTTCTTCTTTAGCATTTTGTCCCTTACAGAAAGAGTTCATGCAAAACATTGAAAAGTATTTCTGGGTATTTGTTTCACTTTAATCATGCATTTCCATCCAGGAATTAATTTCCATCTAGGGAGTGGTCCAGGGTGACAATGTCTCGATTCACAGGGCACGGTGTTTACAATGTCCATGAATGG